TCCTCTCCTAGAACCCGAGCAAATGTCCAAGTCAATTCTTCCTTCAACTTCTCCTAACAGTGTCATAAGCCAAGCCACCATTGATGGGACAATAACAGCACTGAGACATGCAATAAACAATCTTTGTATGTCAGAAATTCTCAAAGAATCTGAAATGGCTGTACTCCAAATCGAGCGGTTCTGGCAGGAAGCAAATATGGATATGGATATTCAATCTATGCTTTCCAAACCTCCGGTTATCAATGGATTTGTGGAGATTCTTTTCAATTCTGTTGATCCTCGTGTATTGAAAGCAACTGTTTTTCTGTTATCTGAACTGGGGTCAAGAGACAAATCTGTGATCCAGACACTCACAAGAGTTGAATCTGATGTGGAGTGTATTGTGGCTCTTTTCAAGAAAGGTTTGCATGAGGCAGTCGTGTTGATATATTTATTAAGACCTTCCACCATGACCTTAATTGAGATGGATATGATGGAAGCTCTCCTGAATGTAATTAAGAAGAAAGATGAGGATTTGCTCAAGATGTGTTTGAAGCAAAAATCAGCTTCAGTGCTTTTGTTGGGACAGATTATTGGGAACAGTGAAGAGAGCATCGTATCTTCAATTGCCAATACAATTGTTTCTTCAAAGGTGTTCGAAAGCATTATTGGCAGCTTGGAAGCCGAGTTGGCTGAGGAGAGAATTGCAGCAGTTGGTATCTTATTGAGATGCATGCACGAGGATGGAAAATGCAGAAATACCATTGCTGAAAAAGCTGTGTTGGCTCCTGTTTTGGAGAGCTTCATGGCTGCAAGTGATGGAGAAAGGTTTGAGATAGTTTCTTTTCTCTCCGAGTTAGTCAAATTGAACAGGTATATCTATCATATCTGAATCTCTATATGCACTATTAGTTGCCAATTTTATGGTGAATTTGGGGATTATGCCTGTCTGGGTTGATTTCAATGTTCGGTTTTCTCTAGGAGAACATTCAATGAGCAAATTCTCCACATCATTAAGGATGAAGGTACATTCAGTACAATGCACACCCTCCTCGTTTATTTACAGACAGCCAACGAAGACCAATGCCCTGTTGTCGCGGGTCTCCTTCTCCAACTAGATCTGCTGGTTCGGATCTCACTCTCTCGGTCTTGCTATTTGAAAACTTATGCTATCAATCCTTCAACAAATAGTCTATCTTTGTGACTGTTTTTGCCTTATTCTGGAAAATTGTTTGATTGGTCAAATTCATCTTTAAAGTTGATAATTAATGGCTAGAGTCTTGATCTGTAGGCCGAACCGAGAAAGATGAGTATATATCGTGAAGAGGCAATAGATACCCTCATTTCTTGCCTCAGAAATTCCGACTTCCCAGCTGCCCAAATAGCGGCTGCTCAGACAATCATGACACTACAAGGGAGGTTCACTTTCTCTGGGAAGCCACTTACACGTGCTATTCTTCTGAAGCGCGCTGGGCTTGCGAGAGGTTACAGAAGTCTAATACGAACAGAGCGGCTTGGCAGCATTTCAGGAGAGATTGACGATACTTCAGTGAGTTCCTTTCAAGATGTTGAAAGTTATTTCCAAATTATTGCTAATAATTTAACCTCTAGTTTATGGTTCTATAGAATTTCCATCTATTTATAATTTGTCACTGATACTTTCTTTCTCTTTTGCAGGAAGAAGAGAAAGCTGCAGATGATTGGGAAAGAAAAATGGCTTTTGTTCTTGCAAGCCATGAGTTTGGTCTGGTGTTTGAGGCTTTAGCAGAAGGCTCAAAGAGCAGATATGCAAAGTTAAGTTCAGCATGCTTAGAGTCAGCAACATGGCTAGTATACATGCTGAGACTTATGCCAGACACAGGGATCCAAGGAGCAGCCAGGGTCTGCTTACTCCAGCGCTTTGTATCAATATTCAAGTCTGTGAAGGACACTGATGACAAAGCCCTATCATTACTTGCTCTAAACAGCTTCATACATGACCCAGGTTGGTAACCATCTTTGGATTAATCAGAATTTCATTTCAGTCATCGGGATAAGACATTAGGAAACTTCCTCGAATCTTTTTGAGGGCAAAAATTATGTTAAGTTCTGCAATCCCTATGGTGGGTTGGACTTGGGGTCATTTGGATCAAATAATCTGGTTTTCTTGTTGGCATTTGAAGCATAAAGCCAAACTCTAGGAGAGATGTTGCAGATCGAAAGATAAAACAAAATTATAAAAGGAACTTGCATATTCATTTTTATTTACAGTGCAAATGCTATTCGTAGTAATGCCCCCATACTAGAGAATCATTTTACCTGTTTTTTGTGAGGATACACATGCATGTGGTCTATATACTACCTGCAGTTGGTTTCTCTGTTTTCTTTCAGAATTAGTTGTTGGTATACTGAAACTTGATGTTGCTCATTTCAGAGGGGATGGTTTATCTATCTCCCCATATGAAGGATATTATGAAAGGCCTGAGAGAGTTTCGGAAATCCTGTCCTTTGGCCGTTGAAATGCTGAAAGTTTTCTCCGAAGGGCATGAATCAAGTGCTGTAAGTTCAGTACAATTCTGTATATCATATATATCCCGGTAAGATGAGGTATCTTAGATGCAATTTTTATCCTTGTTTGGTGGCAGGACTTCTGGAATCATAAAGAATTAGTTCAATTAGATTCCAGTGAAAATGGAGAGGTGCTCTCTATAGCTTGCTTCAGAGACAAGATATTTTCTGGCCATTCAGATGGAACTATAAAGGTAACTCTATCTATATCTGAATTACAGAAGTCTTCAATATTTATTCAGTTTAATTGAAGCATTTAAGCATCGACAGACTAAGATTAAACTTCAATAAAATATTTTATTCTCAAATTCTGTAGGTCTGGACAGGGAGAGGTAGCATTCTCCATCTCATCCAAGAAATCCGAGAACATACTAAGGCAGTTACCAGCTTAGCCGTTTTACAATCAGAGGAAAGACTATATAGTGGTTCACTTGATAAAACAGCACGGGTATGTTAAAATAATTCCTCCAATTATATCTACTAAATTTGCAGACTGAAATAGTTCTTATGATGATGAGCAGGTTTGGTCCATCGGCAATGAAGAGATCTATTGTGTACAAGTACAAGACACAAAGGATCAGGTTCACAGTCTAGTTGTTGCCAGTGGCATCGTATGCTTCATTCCACAAGGAGCTGGTGTCAAGGTATCATATAACACAATCCATCCTTCCTGTTGCCAGTGATTTTTATTTCCCCACATCACATGCTCTCACCCTCTGAATTTTATAGGTTCAATGAACTTGGGTATTTGTTTAACTGAAAAACACACTGTCAATTTTCTCTTAGGTTCACTCATGGACTGGAGGATCTAAACTGTTGAACTCCAGCAAAAATGTTAAGTGTTTGGCTCTTTTACAAGGAAAATTGTATTGTGGATGCCATGATAGTAGTATTCAGGTATGGCATGAGGTTCTCTTCATTGTTATACTATCTGCACTCAGCTCTTCTAAACTAACTTTTTCTCCCAAATATTTAGATTTTAATAAATCTCAATTCTTTTCAGGAAATTGATTTGGCAACAGGAACACTAGGTACCATTCAAATTGGTTCAAGAAAATTACTAGGAAAGGCAAATCCCATTCATGCACTGCAAGTTCACAATGGACTTATATATTCAGCAAGCTCTGGCTTAGATGGGGCAGTTGTGAAGGTATAAATTTACCAACACCAATGCTCTACCGTTGCCAATTTTCTCCCTTCTTCTTATATTCATAGATGATTAATATCTAAATTCAACCAAAAAATTAGATATGCTGAAGTAACTTTAAGCTTTGTGATTTATAACTGAAAACAGCAGGTTCCTATCAAGCTGATTAGGATTGCCTTCACTTATTTACTTCAAGTCATATTTCCTGTGATTGGAAATTTGTTAAAGTAACTAACAAAGCCTAATTTTAATTTGGCAAAGATTTGGAGTGCTTCAAATTATGCCATGGTTGGATCACTGCCAACTACATGTGAAGTACGGGCAATGGCTGTAAGCTCAGAACTAGTTTATTTGGGATGCAAAGGAGGAGCTGTAGAAATTTGGGACAGTAAGAAACAAACTAAAATAGAAACACTTCAAACTGCTACAAATGGCAAGGTTCTATGTATGGCTCTTGATGACAATGAAGAAGTTTTGGTGATTGGAACTTCGGATGGAAGGATTCAGGTATTCTATTTCTTTCATCTCAACCTTCAACGAAGGACAGAATTATTCTTCTTTCCTGTTTCAATTTTTTATTTGGATTTGTGTTTATCTCTAAAGTCTCTTCAGTTAACTGCCATACCTTTTGTCTTCAAATTTAAAGATTAAGATCTCTCTGCTTGTTTGCAGGCATGGGGGCTGAGCTAGAAAACGTGGACGCGGTAAAAATTTTGATAAGAGGAACGGCTTGAAGCGGTTAAGTGTCAACCGAAATTCTTTGCATTGTGCAGATGATATTCTTTATTGTGAATTATTTTTTGCATTCCATAAAATAAGCTTCTTCACAGGATGCATGAGAAATGTAAATAGCAGATAAATATTGATCATCAAACTATCAGGTGCAGCCCGGGGGGTTGTAACCTTCTTTGTATCTATGTATAGAATATCAATTATTGTTATTACAATTTGGAAAAACATTGTCCTGGATTAACTATAATGTGTAAATAGTGTCAATGATAGTTGACGAAAAATACAGAGTAAAGATAAATCCCTGAAATAAGAGAGAATCATCCACATACAAACGCCACGAAATATTTTGAGAGAAAATAACAAGCTTTATTTTTCAGTATGATTATTAGTTTTATTATGAAGAATATACGAGAAGAGATATTTTTGCAACTTGTTCTTCGTTGTGATTAGAGAATTGAAAGAGACGTTTAAAACTATACTTTCCATTACGCATTTATATATTCAATAACTAGAGTACAGCTAATTAATGCCTTACACGTCAATGGTGGTCCCTTCCTAGGATGGTTTTTCTGGATTCTGGTCAAAATATTGCTGCCATGATTTTGTTGTTGTTAGGGAAGACTCATAACAGACTTTGTAGTACTCTCCATAAATATGGAAAATGTAAAGCGGATAGTTGCAGAAGTGAAGATGGAATCTTCCTTAAACGAAAACATGATTCAACAATCTTCAAGGCCCAAAAAGGGTGGCTTTAGAACCATGCCCTTCATCATAGGTAAGCATATCCCACTCTCACTTGTATACAAGTAAGTAATTTACGATACCTTTAACTTTTGACTTCATTAATTTCCTTTGTTTCTTTTTGTTCAACAGTGAATGAATCATTTGAGAAGGTTGCTGGTTATGGATTGATGCCAAATATGATATTCTACTTGATGAATGGTTATCATATAGCAACTGCAAATGGAGCTACCATGCTGGCCATGTGGTCTGCTACATCCAATGCTTTGGCTATTGTGGGTGCTTTTCTTTCCGATTCTTATATTGGCCGATTTTGGGCAATTCTTCTGGGTTCCTTCTCCAGTCTTCTTGTAAGTTTATAATTAAAATCCTTTCCTTTGATCAACATGACTAATTTAACTAAATATATATCTTCGGGACAAAGCATTGGCTAAAACTGATGAATTTTAATTTCTTTCAAGTAATTAAAGAGATTGCATTAATCCCGGCAACACAACTTGGGATGACTGATTGATTGCAGAAGAATACCTACCGTATAATCTTTGATCGTTGAATTCTTTATTTTTTATTATTTTGTATTCTTTGTTTTCAATCTGTTTTAAAGGCTTTTTTATGTATGGAGTTTGTTTCAAACGTACCTCGAAAGACTTTTTCTTTCGTGAAAAGTCTTCCATGTGTCCCGGCAATTTCATGTCGAGACAATAAGATAGTCCAGCAGAAACGTCCACATTTTCTTGTCCAAATTATTGACTGCCCCAATTGGCTTATATCAATACTAAACTGCATTCAGAAATGGCAGCTATACTTAGCATTCGACCTTAAACATTGACAACAGTGAATTTGTCATGGAAACATGCCTCGCTAATAAATTACTAAGCATGAAGTTAAATAGTCATTAGTATCAGGATATTAGTTGCTAATTGGTGTCATCAACTGAAAAAGAAAAAACAGTGACTATTCCGTGTGTGTACTTTTTTAAAGCTAATGTATTCATACCGTGTCACAGGGCACTACTCTTCTATGGTTAACAGCCATGATCCCACAGTTAAAGCCTCCTCTCTGCACCCAGTTTAGCAGCAACTGTGAATCAGCAACACCGGCCCAACTCTTCGTCTTACTAACCTCTTTTGGGCTCATATCAATTGGTGCTGGTTGCATCAGACCATGTTCGATGGCCTTTGGTGCTGATCAATTGGACAAGAAAGGCAATCCCAATAATGAGAGGATAATACAGAGTTTCTTCAACTGGTACTATGCATCAATAGGTGTTTCCACATTTCTAGCGTTGACATTAATAATCTATATTCAAGATCAACTGGGTTGGAAAGTGGGTTTTGGTGTTCCTGCACTTTTAATGGTGTTTTCAACTCTCATGTTCTTGATGGGTTCTAATCTTTACGTTAAAGTGAAGGTCGAGAAGAGCTTGTTTACTGGCTTTATTCAAGTGATTGTGGCTGCTCTTAGAAAAAGAAACCTTAATATACCAGACAACAATCTGGAGTACTATCAGCGCCTAGATACAAATATCTACATTACTCCAACTGACAAACTAAGGTACCAAATACTTTCATTACTTAAATCATAAGTATCAATGTCTAACTCGGTTAAAATCCTTTATGTTCACTCACCTAAAAAAATATGAGAGAAGAAACATCTTCTTAGCTTGCTTTACTGCACATATAGGTTTCTTAACAAAGCTTGCATCATTGAAAATTCCGAGGACTTAAAACCGGATGGAACAGCTTCAAATCCATGGAAACTCAGCAGCATAGACCAAGTAGAATCACTTAAAGCACTACTAAGAATTATCCCTATGTGGTCCACTGGCATCATTGTTCTAGTTAGTTTGAACCAAAATTCATTTACTGCACTCCAAGCCAAGACTATGGATCGCCACGTCACTTCACACTTCCAAATTCCAGCTGGATCATTCACAGTGTTTGCCATTGTCACACTAACAATATGGGTTGTCAGTTATGACCGTGTAATAGTTCCAATTCTAGGAAGATTTACAGGAAATCCAGGCGGGTTCAGTCCTAAAATTCGGATGGGAAGTGGGTTGATACTTTCTGCAGTGGCTATGGCAGTATCAGCAATTGTGGAGAGCATTAGGAGGAAAACTGCCATAGATGAAGGGTTGGTTGATAAGCCTAACATTGTGATGGACATGTCTGCTATGTGGCTAATACCACAATTTTGCTTGCTTGGGTTGGCTGAGGCTCTGAATGCAATTGGGCAGATAGAGTTTTATTACTCACAGCTTCCTAAGAGCATGTCTAGCATTGCCATAGCTCTCTACACACTTGGAATGGCTGTTGCCGATATGTTTAGTGGTGTTTTAGTGAAAATTGTTGATGAGATTACAAGGCAAGATGGGAAAGAGAGTTGGCTGTCAAATAACCTGAACAAGGGTCACTTGAATTATTTCTATTGGCTTATTACCATACTCTCTGTGGTCAATTTTGGTTCTTTTCTGGTGTGTTGTTGGGCTTATGGACCTTCCAGGGACGGGAAGAAAGTGCCCTCGAAAATAAGACTAGAAAGAAAAGAAGATACATCGCCACTAATTTGATATGCATATTTGCATTTTTGTTTCGAAAATTGTATTTAAGATACTTGAGATGGGATTGCAATTTGTGATATGAATTTTTTTTTTGTTTTTTGTTAATATGTGAACTTGTGAAGCCGTCAAAACTGTGTCGTATTGGGCTTTAGTAATGCGGTGCCGTTTCAAGCTGTCTCTCTTTAGTCTTGGCCCTTGATCTCTATCAAATCCAACGGCTGGAATCTTCTCTGGTTGTCAACGTATAAAAACAGCAGATCAACCAATTTGCACAGTGAAATCCTTTTGTAATTTCGCAATCTCTGCTAAGGTTCTTATTCTCTAACTGTTCTCTTGTGTAAATTGGATTGTAAATCCACCCAAAAGTTGTGTTTCTTTTGAGGGTAGAGAATCGGGGATAGGCTTCTCTATAGGATTGTAGATTTACGGTAACAGGAGTAGAAAGATTGAGGTTCTTGAGAGTGAGTGATTGAGCAAATGATTGAGTGTGTGCTTGAGGATTGTACTCTGTGATTTTGTGATAACAATAGTGCAGCGAGCCACTATATTATGGAGCTCAACATGGACTTAGTTTGTTTAATCTTGAACAAGTGAACCACGTCAAAGATCGGGTGTTGTTTTTTCCTGTTTTTGATCTTTGTATGGTTGGTTAGAATCTTGATTTTTGTTAAGTAGACTCGGATTTACAACATTTTTAATTCTCGATTTAGGATGTATCTGTTTTTTAAGGGAGATGTCATGTTATAGCAACTGAATATTTATGGTTTTTAATGCAATTCAATTTATTAACTCGTGGGGCATCTTTCACTTAAAGTGGACGTTTCCAATTCGTGCATGTGAACTCTAAATATGGACTACGGGTGTCAAATTTGGAAAAGAATGTAGCCTACTTGAGTATGTAATTATGTATCTCAGCAGTTCTTCCATTTGTAGGCCAAAGACTTACATTATCAATCGTGGCACTCACAGATTTAAAGTAAATTATCCCACCACTTACAAAAACAAAAACTTTTACTTTGATAGTTGGTGTTGGTGCCAGCAGAAATGAAGGATTTGGTAATGGTGGCCCTTTGAATGATATTTATAGCAGACGGTAACCACCACCTGAACAGCTGCTTAGTCCACAAACGGTATGCATGTGTTATTATTTTTAATAATAGACCTTAAGACTGATTCGATATATGATCAGGTTTTTCAATCTCTTTTCTCCGCTAAATGTCCCATCATAAGCTGAGCTCTGTGAAGACGATATGTCATTTGATTAACATTTAGAAAATATATCTTTAAAAATTAATTCCAAGAAAAATGCAATTTTAATTATCTAATTCAAAGCTAAACATATTCTTCTGTTGTTTGATTCACAGGATTTTATTGATGATGCAACGCATTTTAGCTGTTGATATTATAGGTGAATCATAAGATTAAACAAGCTGTTTATGGGATCACCCGACATAATAAGAATGATATAATATATATATATATATATATACACACACACACACACATTATTTTCTGAATATTATTTGAACACTTAAAGTGTCTTTTAGTGAAAACAGCAGTAATTAGCAAACAGGAAGGATGGCTGTTTCTGGTTACTCCAAAAACATACAACATAATGTGAAGACCAAGTCCATGTGAGCTTTGCTTTATGATCTCAAAATTTACCTTATACAAAATATATTCTAACAAGGTGGACATCTTTCTTGTTTACTACGCCATAATTTTTGTTTTGGCCTGATAATTAAAGGCCAAAACCGTCAACAATCCAAGAAGAAGACCATTCAAAAAGGCCGCCCTCATAAGGTTATCCCAACTGATAGAGGCTGAGGACAAAAAGGTGAACAATGATGGACACTAACAATCTGTTACTATATATATTCTTATTCTAAAGGAGACTCTTTCTCATTATATACTCTTCTGCATAAATCTTAATTTGTCTATGCAGAAAACATGGAGATTTCTTATGAGAAGGAAGAGAACAAGAAAATCTCCCGTCAAGAGGGTAAAAGCAGAAAGGGTGGATTTAGGACAATGCCCTTTATCATAGGTGAGCTCTGGTCAATGATATATATATATATGTTTTAATAATAAGTTAATTAGGCAAAATAATGATTGATTTAAATTTATTTGTGTTGAAATATTGCAGCAAATGAGACGTTTGAGAAGGTAGCAAGCGTGGGGCTTCAAGCCAATATGATATTGTACTTGACAAAGGAATATCACATGTCAAGTGCAGCCGGAACCAATGTATTATTCTTGTGGTCAGCCATATCAAATTTTATGCCTACTATTGGGGCTTTCCTTTCTGATTCTTACTTAGGTCGCTTTCGGGTCATTGCATTGGGAACTTTCATCAGCCTTCTTGTAAGACTTTGATTAATCTGAAATAATATTAAGTTATATACTTGAATTATAAACGATATATAATATTTATTTTCATTGCAGGGATTGACTGTCCTCTGGATAACAGCTATTGTTCCTCAGGCCACACCACCTTCTTGCAACCCGACAGTAGAAGCTTGTATATCTGCAAAACCAGCCCAGCTGGCGCTTCTCTATTCTTCATTTGCTCTCATGGCCATCGGAGCCGGTGGCATTCGGCCGTGCTCCTTAGCCTTTGGTGCTGACCAATTACAAAATCCTAATAATCCCAACAATGAGAGGCTATTGCAGAGCTTTTTCAATTGGTATTATGCTTCAGTCGGAATCTCAATCATGATTTCAGTGACAGTCATAGTTTATATTCAAGATAAGGCTGGCTGGATTGTAGGTTTTGGAGTTCCTGTTGGACTCATGTTCTTGTCTGCTGTACTCTTCTTAATGGGTTCTTCATTATATGTCAAAATGAAGGCAAACAAGAGCTTGTTTACCGGCTTTGCCCAAGTTATATCTGCAGCCTGGAAGAACAGAAATCTAGCTTTGCCACCAAGGGATTCTGATGGATGGTACCACTACCAGAAAGGTTCAAAGTTTACCGTACCAACAGAAAAATTAAGGTATATAATCACATATCACATCAAATTGAAAGAGTTAATATAAGCTTTGTTATTACCTCCAATCTGTAGGTATTTGAAATCTGCACAAGTCTTTTTCTTCTTTTGTCTTCGAATTGTCAAGGGTATCTATAGTGCATATCGAAATAAACGACCATAGTTGACTTTATATCAAACAAAGAAAGAATATATATCAACCAGCGGCTATTAATTTATATAAGGTTGATATTGATTTAGTAATATTTATTTGGCTCTACTCAGGTTTTTAAACAAGGCTTGCATAATCAGAAACCCAGAGAAAGATATGGAGTACTCTGATAAAACGTCATGGAATGTTTGCACAGTGAGACAAGTAGAAGAGCTGAAAGCACTGATTAAAGTTTTGCCGATCTGGTCCACGGGCATCATAATTGGAGTGACCATCAGCCAGCACTCATTCCCAGTACTCCAAGCTGTCACCATGGACAGGCGCATTTTCACTGAAAAAATAAAATATCCGGCAGGTTCATTCGGTTTGTTCGCAATCCTCACATTGACAATATGGGTTGCCGTCTACGATCGAATCGTAGTCCCTCTTCTAGCAAAGTTCACAAAAAGAAGAAAAGGACTTAGCAATAAAGAGAGAATTGGAATCGGTCTGGCAATCTCATGTCTAGCCATGGCAACCTCAGCACTGGTGGAGAGGAAGCGACGTGACACAGCAATCAGAGAAGGATTGGCGCATAAACATGGTATTGTGAGTACGTCAGCATTTTGGCTAGTGCCACAATATTGCCTCATAGGCTTAGCAGAAGCTTTCAACGCAATTGGGCAAATAGAATTCTATTATTCTCAGTTTCCAAAGAGCATGTCGAGCATCGGAGTGGCTCTTATGGCGCTTGGAATTGCAGTGGGAAATGTAGTTGGGGCTCTGATTATATCAATCTTGGATAATGTGACAAAAAGAGGAGGGAAAGTGAGCTGGGTAGCCACTAATCTCAACATGGCTCACTACGATTATTACTACTGGATTCTTTGTTTCTTGAGTGTGATCAATTTGTTTTACTATTTAGTATGTAGTTGGGCATATGGGTCATGTGAGGATATTAAGGATTGGGACGAGGATGAAGTAAAGATAACAGAAGAATTATCGATACTTGATCTTAAGGGATCCCCTCTTGTTTATCCTGGATCTCCTCTCGTTTTCTATTCTGCTTCCGGTATTTGATTTGTATTTTGAACCCAACTACTTGTTTATGCATTGCTACTGACAATCCTTTCTTATGAAATCTTGTACCATATTTGTACACCATAATTAATTTCAGACTGAAGAGTTCATATATCTCATATTAAACAAAAATAAAAGAACTATATGATATTATGTTTTTTCTTTAAAAAATAATATAAAACCACGAAAAAATGGTATTAAAACATACAAGAATAACAATGAACATAAGTTGGCAATGAACAGAATCCATGAAAAACTCAACTAAATTAATTAGTTTATGGTCAGAAGAGGGAGCCTCCCTAAAATGATGAACCCATTTGTTTTCTAAGTAAATTTAATTTTAATACGTTTTAAATGATTCCTACGGATTTGTTTTGAATTACAAAATCAGAGTAAGGCCGGTCCTTTTAATTAGCTTTATTCTAGAACCCTACCTACAGCCCAACCACCCTTCATCAAAACTCAACCACATAGCCAATGCCATTATAATACCTGTTACAATACATTCGCTATGATTTAAAAATACCCAATCTCATCGATGTGATTTTTTTCGTATCCATTACGTCCCAATATTCACCCGGATCTCAAAATTTTCTCCAATTCACCTAATAGACTTAACTCACCTCCTCTGCATCCTATAAATATCCTCAACTCTCTCAACGCTCTCATCACTCCATTTCCTACCCTACGATCTCAACTAGCTTCTTTTTTACTACCCCTCATCAGAAATGGCTCCGATTGCTGTTGGTGATACCTTACCGGACGGTACTCTGGCCTACTTCGACGAGCAAGATCAGTTGCAACAAGTGTCTGTACACTCTCTCGCTGCCGGTAAAAAGGTGATCCTTTTTGGTGTTCCCGGTGCTTTCACCCCAACTTGCAGGTAAAACTTTTGTCTATTAAGGAGCCCGATTGTTGGCCGATGGAGGTCTTTGTAGTAATACTTTTTTTGTTTGTTTGTTTTGTAGCTTGAAGCATGTTCCTGGCTATATTGAAAAAGCAGATGAGTTGAAATCCAAGGGCGTTGACGAAATTCTCTGCCTAAGTGGTACATTTTTTACTTGCGTTTTTTAATTCTTACTTTGCTCTAGTTTAACATGGGCTGCATCAATGTTTTCTTTCATCGCATTTATTATCAATAACTTGTCTATATTCTTGACTAATGTATATGAATTCTCTGCGTAAGTGGTATATTTTTTACTTGCGTTTTTTAATTCTTACTTTGCTCTAGTTTAACATGGGCTGCATCAATGTTTTCTTTCATCGTATTTATTATTAATAACTTGTCTATATTCTTGACTAATGTCTATGAGATTTACGATATTGAGGCCCTTGTGTGGAAATATAGCCTGAATAATTGAAATTATAGGTCATCCTCTGAATCACTATGTCCGTGCTACTAAACGCATCATAAGATTAATTTTGCTTTCTAATGAAGTTTAAAACAAATTTTGGGCTTCATTTGTGTTGATTTTTTCTTTGGTTGGATGCATAGTTTGCATTCGTCAAGTCAGCACTGATTTTTGCGCGTATATCTTCATCAAGCTGAAAAACATATAGGAGCCATCAATAGGGGCTGAAAGTGTGCACGGGATCAATTCCAAAATTATCGGAACTTCTGTTTTGATAATCTATTATTGTTGTTTGAAGTAACCGATTTCAACTTAAGATAGATTAACAAACTATCAATGAAACCTTTCAAATAACTTAGACCATTAAGGTTCCATTTGGTACCTCTATTTCAAGGAGATGTATTGGTTGTGACTGTCAGTCACAAGGCATTGCTAAAAGTGTTATATGCATTTATGTATTAAAGACTCTTAAAAAAAAAAAAAAAAGGTGAAACAACTGAAAATGATTGATTAAATAGCTTATTACTTTCTTCTTTTTAACTGTTTCAAAAAGTTCTACTAAACATCACCCAAGCCAAGGTTGATGTAAACTGTATGCATTGATTTTTGCAAGTATATCTTCATCAAGCTCTAATTTTTTTCACATTTGCAGTTAATGACCCATTTGTGATGAAGGCATGGGCCAAAACATATCCTGAGAACAAGGCCGTTAAGTTCCTTGCTGACGGATCAGGAAAGTACACCCACGCTTTGGGCCTTGAGCTTGACCTTAGCGAGAAAGGACTTGGAACTCGCTCCAGGAGGTTTGCTCTCTTGGTTGATGACTTGAAGGTGAAGGCTGCAAATGTGGAATCTGGTGGAGAATTTACTGTCTCCAGTGCTGATGATATAATCAAGGCTCTTTAAACATCGAATTCCTTCTCGCCTGTGAGTCCAATACTTAGTAGCTTTTGTGATGTGTACAAGTTACTATACACCAGTAGCCTTTGAAGATTTTGTGTGTCTGGAAAATCTTTTGCTTGAAACTGGGTGTCATGGTAATTGAAATAATGGATGTGTTTCTTTCTATTTACTTTCTTGGTGTTGAATGATGAGAAATATTGCTGGTGTTATACTTGTATCTTGCGTGCATTTTATAAAAAATCAAATATCATTTCAGAACATTATATTTATGCAGTATGCCTAAGGGCATTAACGCTGCTGCTCCATTGGCCAATGATGCTTGTAGTTCTAAATGTAGCTATGAATTATCATAATTAAGTTGTTTGATGAATCCTCCTTGATCATAGCTTGCCTAGATTAATTTGTAAAAATGCATCTAATGAGCAAACAGGGAGCCTGCAGTTTGGATCACTGTGGAATTATGCAGTCCTGCAAGTTGGTTGGCTGTGTGTATTTCAATAGTTTTCTTTTTTAAGATAGATCAACCATTGTCCAACATATAAAAATATTTAAAATGAAATGCCTACTGCTTTTAGTTATTTGTGGTAACATTGGGAACAATTAGTGCTCTTACGCAGTGATGACTTGTGATTGATTCATTTACGTTTAGTTTAAAGGTAGAATTTGTACAGGTTGATTATATTTATAGATGTTTAGCAATGCAATAGTATCTCTTATCTCTTTGCATTTCGTAGATAAATGTATGATTTGAGTTCGGACATAAAAATAGTTCTGAAATTCTCTGAACAGCATTGGACTGAAAAGAATATTCTGAGAAAATTTTAGAAAATCTATGATTACTACTAAAAGACTTTTAGCTCTTACCCTCTGGCTTCTGAAACGAATTTCCAGCATCAAGAACTGATACGCACTGTTTCCATGTAGGCCAGTATTCAGCTTATTAGTTACTATCATTGAAGTATGATACTGTATATAAAAAAGTTTCTTTAAACTATTGATGGTACCAACTGCCAGTAGACTTTATATTTGGGACATTTGTTATCACATAACGCGGGAGCTTGAATCAACACTTGCTTTGAACCATTTGCCGGCTACTTGATGGCTGATGCAACAACTTAATCGGTCCTATGGATAATTTTTTATCAGAAATTTCTTTGTCATCGTACTCGTATACTAAGCAATTACTTCTTTATTTAATTAAGGTAATAATCAAGTTTGGTTTAAGGACTTGGTCAAACATTGTCTCACTTTATAGTGGAGGGTCGGCTGGGAATTGCATAATTTTAATTTTTAAGTATGTTAAAAATTCATTTAATATCATGTTTTAGATGATTATTGGCCAATTTACCAAGTAAAAGAGCAAAACTGGACCTGGATGACTGGATCTGCCCAACTGTCAACATGACATTTTAAACTAAATGAAATGGGCCAGCTTCTAGTTACAGCCCCCAAACTATTGCATATAGAGATTAGGGACCGATGGATTTTTAAAAAAATAGAGATACAAATTATATTTATACATTGTTGTGCAGATTTTTCAACGACTAGATTTGTGCTATCTATCCAAACACTATATCGGGATCTAACAGTCAGGCTCACCCTAGGTGTCGCTCCCACAACAGATGACTTTACCAACAAGCTTATCAGTATTAAGCATGGGCGAGGCTGACTCAGATCCGGATTATGAGAGATTATGCGTGTAATCTACCGTTTAACAACAACTCCCAAGTCTCAACCACTGTTAGACGGTGTGTATAATAGGGAGGAACCACCTCCGTTTTGGGGATCAAATTTTTACTCAAGAACAGGAAACAACTTAGAGAGAGTTTTAGCTCACTATTATGTGTTTTCTCCTTGTAATCACCTTGTGTATAAAGCAAATATAAAAGCAATAATATAACAGTAGACATAGGCTTGGTTCATACTTGCCAAACCACTTTAGAAACCATTTTTGTTCTCCCATTATGGATTTTCTAATCCATTCTTAGCTGGTTATTCTTAACCACACACACATCCTACCTAATTTCATCATGGTCGGCCGGGTTTCTCAGGTTGTTGCGAGTTTTTTAACAACATTTTAGTGCTAGAAAGAGGGGCTTCCACCTTATCAATCATTATTCATCAGCCACATTTCACAACCATGACACTTACTAGGTCTAAAAGTGCCATTAACCCTGCCGAGGAGAATGAGCCCAACCACCAGGAAATTGATTAAAGGGCCAAGCAAACTCACCCACTGATTGTTCCACTGGTAGCTTAACAAGGGGCAGGAACATTGTCCAACCACTGCCCAAATGATGGACATACTGAAATCACTTTTCAGTGCATTCCAGGGCTTGCAACAAGAGGTGGCAAACATTAAGGAAGTTTGACAAGGAAACCAGTCTTAAAGCCAATCGGACGCTGTCGCTAGAGTATCGAGCTAGGAGCTTAAAACCACTAGCAACAACTCCAGCTCATCTCGCGACCATCAGTAAGCTATCATCAGCGGAAGAAAATTAGCAGAGTGCAAAGACGCGAGGTCCTATAATAGAGTGACTCGGGCAGATGGCCATGGAAACAACCAATGCTGAGAATGAAAGGCGGTAGGAAGTTGTTCGCCCTAAGCGAGCAAACAATCGAGCCTAGTGTGTCAGATTGAACCCATGTCGAGGACGTTCCTCCATTAGTCAAACGCCCAAAATTGATGGGCCAATTCACACCTACATCAGGAAACCTCGAATAAAACATATTATCCAAGTAATTACAACACATCATCATAAACCAACAAGCCCGGGAAAAGAGAATGAAAAGGGAAAATAACTAACCTCCGCACTTTCCTAACCTCATAGTATACAAACGATCTTAGGAACCATCTAGAAGCACAGTGCTCAAAACAGGGCCTAGCCAAGAACCCTAAGGTGAAAGAGAAGATAAATCAAGTACACCTCCAGGTTCATCAAGAAAACACGACTGTAGGAGCAGTCAACTTTTTATTTTTCGAAGAAGTGCGTCGGGCACTACTGCCACCAGGCTTCAAATAGTTGGATAGAAAAAGTGATCCCCGAGACATTTGAATGCTTTCAACGACTTGATGGAGTTGCATTATGTCTCTTACCTCACCAAGTGTTGCTGCTTTGCAGTCACTCTGATTGAAGACACGAAGAGGTGGTACAATAGGCTCCCAACATGCTCGGTCTTCTCCTGGGAACAATTTGTCACACTGTACCTCCAACGATTCCAAGCAAAGAGGTGCTTCGCGATGCCCCTGAGTTACCTCAGTAACATCAGGTAAGAGAAAGTCGAAACTCTAACCTCATATTTAACAAGGTTTTAGATCAAGCAAGGAAAAGTTGCAGATGCACCAGAGGAATCAATCTAAGCACTCCTTGTTGCCAAGGTAAGGCTGTAGGTTGAGCTATAGAAAGATTTGCAGGGGAAGGACCAAGTACTTTAAGAAATTTTCTTTAGTAGTTTTTCCACTCATCTCTGAAAGCTTTCATGTTGTGGGTATTTATTCAAGCCCTTAAACATCTACTCTAAATTTTTGATCAGAGAAAAGGGAGAAAAAAATTTGTTTTACAATGAATGGATTTGGTGGTTTCTTATATTAGTGGACTTTATCGGTCAAGGCATGGCATTATGGTTTACCATGCTACACCTTCTTTTGTTGAGACTTTTACTGCTATGTCTAAGTTCAATCTTATTGTTATGCTCTTATGTTTTTTATTTTTTTATTTTATATTTATTTTTTATAGCTTGAGAGCATTTTATTAGGGGTGTTCAAAACCGTTTAACCGGTTAACCGTTTTCTTGAACCGAATCAATTTTTTGGTTCAAGAAAATTCCCGAACTGAAACTAAACCGGTTTAGGGGAAAACCGGTTTTTCGGTTGACCAAAAAACTAGTTAACTGCTTTGAAAAAATCGATTAACCGGTTTTCCCCTTTAGGATTAAACTTTTTTTAAAAAAAAAAAAAAAAATTCATGAATTAAATTGTAAATATCAACAATACATATCCAAATAAAAATTAAACATTCATATATATCCATTTATTACAACTAACAATACATTAAAATTTGATACAAATAAAAGTCTGTAATGAAACAAAAATAAAAGTCCGTAATGAAACGTCCATAATAAAACAACAAAATAATTCCTAATGGAAAACAACAAAAGAAATTATGCAAATACAACTCCACAAGTGGAAAGCGGCAACCAACGTTAAGTCAATCGAGTAGCTCTCCCAATTTCTACCCAAATAAAAATTAAATGTTAGAAGTTGATATAAATTAAATCATTTCTTTTTTCATTGCCTACAATAACAAAACAGTTAAAGAAATAAAACCTCAATTAAATGTTGCAAAACCTTCAATCATCAAGATGAACATGAGTAGTATTTCCCATTGCCAAAGACAAAAATTCTACAAAAAATAGTTCATATGAATAATGGTTAAATTCAAAATATAGTCACTAAATCCAACAAAAACAACATAATAACTAATAATTGAAACTAAAGCAAAAAATTTACATGACTCAAGATCTGATATCTCTTCCAAGCTCTCCTCAATAAAGAATGGTTCACGTGTAGCCCAAATTCAGTCTTGTGTACAAATAAAGCCTCCACCGTCTTAGAAGTGAGAGAGCTACGAAATGGATCTAATACACGACCCCCAGTGCTAAACATTGACTCAAATGAACAGTAGAAACCGACATAGCTGATACTTCTCATGCTATCAAAGAGAGAACTGGATATCTATTTGAATTGACCTTCTACCAATTCAAGATATCAAACATCTTGTCCTTGTGACACTGCTCATATTCATCTTCTAAATATTTATCCATCTTAGATTTGGTCACCAAAACTTCCTGTCCAGCCATTGCCTCATCGTACATAAAATACATTAATTATTCAGGATCAACATTTACATCTTCAACATTAACCTGATTTGCTTGTTGAGATTGTTGTCTAGATTGCTCACTAGGAGAAGCACAAATGAGCTTGTATTGTTCAAATAAAGAGTACAAAGTTGTATGCACTTTTGTCTTCAAAAGTTCAATATTAACATCATCACAATTACTAATAACCCAATTCACATATCCTAACTTGAATCTAGGATCCAACACCACTACAATGAATAACATTAAGTTGATGTTATCAATATTTGACCAATATTTATCATGTTTTCCCTTTATTCTCCTAGTCATAGTACTCAAGCCAACACCATTACTTCTACACCATGTCGAAATTTGCATTCCAATGGCAAAGATCTCGTGCATG